ATGTAGTCCCCTCTTTTATAGTCAGGCTTTTCCCATTCTACTCCTGTAATTCTCTCCACTTGCAGCTCTACTATGTATTCAAAGCACAGAACCACGTGGTCGCTAGCTCCTAGGGACTCTCATACTGATGTCCTCAATGTCTGAGCTGCCCAGGGTGAACACAAGGTCCAATCTTGCTGGTTCACTCCTCCTCTCCCTCTCACTCTGGTAGTGTCCTTACATGTTGGTGCATGAGGTTTTCCAGCACCACGTCCAACATCCTGGCTCTCCATGTTTCGGACCCCCATGTGGCTCCAGTTTTCCCAGTCAATCTCCCTGTGGTTGAAATCCCCCATAACCAGCAACTTTGCTCTGCTGGAGTGAGCTCTTCTTGCAACCTCAGCAAGTGTGTCCACCATTGCTCTGTTGCTCTCTTCATATTCCTCTCTTGGCCTCCTGCAGTTCTGTGGTGGATTATACATCACTGCAATGACCACTTTGTGTTCCCCAGACTGAAGTGTACCTGCTATGTAGTGTCTTTCTCCCGTCTCATCTATTCCTTCCATTTTCTCGAATTTCCATCTGTTTTTTACGAGCAGAGCAACCCCACCTCCCCCCCTGCCCCTTCTATCTTTCCTCATGATCTGGTATCCTGGTGGGAAGATTGCATCTGTTATTGTCTCCATGAGTTTTGTTTCTGTAACTGCTATGATGTCTGGGGACTTCTCATTGATTCTTTCTTGCCATTCCTCATGTTTATTCGTTAATCCATCTGCATTTGTGTACCAAACCTTCAACTTCTGTTCTAATACTGTAACTGTGGTGTGGGGGGTATAAACAGAGGGATCGGTGTGTGATGGTTGGTTTGGATTGTTCAGTTGCCTTGGGGGTGTCGTGGCTGGAGTCCTTCTGCAGGTGTTTCTGGGGGTGCGCTTGTCCTTCCATTTGATCCTGGGTTATTCTGCTCTCCTTTTTCATTTCCTCCCATTTCTCCTTTCGTTTTTGAACTCTCTCTTTCATTGTCTTCCTTTCGTCCTGTGTTCTGTCTCGGTCGAGGTACACACTCCGGAACTCCTGCTTGCCTCTCAGCCGTGCTTTCTCCTGCAGGATCATGTGTGTGTGTGTGTGTGTGTGTGTGTGTGTGTGTGTGTGTGTGTGTGGTGTGTGTGTGTGTGTGCGCTCACCTAATTGTGGTTGAAGGGGTAGAGTCATAGTTCCTGGCCCCGCCTCTTCACTGGTCGCTACTACGTCTCTCCCGTCCTGCTCCCTGAGCTGTATCATACCTCTTCTTAAAGCTATGTATGGATCATGCCTTCACCGCCTCCTTTTCCAGACTATTCCACTTTCCGACAATTCTGTGACTGAAGAAATATTTCCAGACATTCCTGTGACTCATCTGAGTCTTCATCTTCCAACCTGTGCTGAGAGGAACACACTTCTCAGTATATATAACCTGTGCTGAGAGGAACACACTTCTCAGTATATATAACCTGTGCTGAGAGGAACACACTTCTCAGTATATATAACCTGTGCTGAGAGGAACACACTTCTCAGTATATATAACCTGTGCTGAGAGGAACACACTTCTCAGTATATATAACCTGTGCTGAGAGGAACACACTTCTCAGTATATATAACCTGTGCTGAGAGGAACACACCTCTTAGTTTATATAAGCTGTGCTGAGAGGAACACACTTCTCAGTATATATAACCTGTGCTGAGAGGAACACACTTCTTAGTATATATAACCTGTGCTGAGAGGAACACACTTCTCAGTTATATAACCTGTGCTGAGAGGAACACACTTCTCAGTATATATAACCTGTGCTGAGAGGAACACACTTCTCAGTATATATAACCTGTGCTGAGAGGAACACACTTCTCAGTATATATAACCTGTGCTGAGAGGAACACACTTCTCAGTATATATAACCTGTGCTGAGAGGAACACACTTCTCAGTATATATAACCTGTGCTGAGAGGAACACACTTCTCAGTATATATAACCTGTGCTGAGAGGAACACACTTCTCAGTATATATAACCTATGCCATAAAACCGGTTAGTGGTCAAATGTTCTATTTGGTACGACATTTCACACACAAATGTGCATAAGTATAAATACTTTATAAAGTCCGCTAGTGGGTCAAACATCGTGTAATAAATCTAAATCTATATTTTAGTTAAGTTAGTAGTTATGTTTCACGAAACTATATTTTTTAAGGTCAAAACAAGAGAGGAAGTGATGTATTAAGCATCACAGAAAACGGATCTTTAGAGTCCTCATCTCTTTTCTCTTCGTCCAATTTTGCAATTTTTTTTCGATGATAACTCGAGAACGCCTCATCCGACCGGCTTCAACTTTTCAACACTTGTTTGCGGTAACGAGGGCCAAATTCATGGACCAGCTGGCATGTTCACATGCTCCATGGCCAAGGTTACTGAACACATTCCCAGCGTCATGGAACGGGTCGAATAATTTCCAAAATACTCAGAGGCGGAGGTTTAAAATGCTTATAAAAGTACCCGAAAAACACGATTTAACGTGCTAAACAACAGGAAATTTTTATTCTCGTTAAATCTCGTTAAACATTTTCCAGTTCATCTTTTCTGTGTCATTAATGTTTCCACTTGTCCATTTATTAATTTTTTATTCAATAACTAATGAGTAATTCTTTTTACTAAATTGGAAATTATACTGAAAAAGAAAAAAAATTTAA